TGAGCCACAGGCACCGCCCCCTTCCTTCAGTTCTTCTCATCTCTACTTTAATTCTAACTCTCTGAGACCCAGTGACATGACCTTGTGAAGAGGCTCCATTGGGCACAGTCCTGGGAAGGACTTCACCCCCCGACCTAGCAGTAGAGAGGATATGTGGCCCTGTGGCAGCAGTGCTATTGGGCAGGAGGGACTATTCAGGGACCACGTCTGGGTGCACTGCCAGCTCTCTGTAGTCATGGAGTAACATTCTACCTTCTGGAAAGGGCATCCTCAGGGTCATCTTCTCTGACTGATTTTCTACTATGTTTTGAGTTCTAGGACTGAATCATTGTGTTTCTCATGCTCAATTGTTTATGACCAGGAATAGTATGGACAGATAGAGAGACATCAGTGATACAGAGTGTTTTATTCCATCATCTGTTTTAAAATATGGAGTCATGATAAATGTCTAGATGCAGTAGATTGGTTCAGTCAGTCTCAGTGTTTCTATCCCTTCTACAGAGGCTGTGCTGTTCCTGTAGGGACCTTTTTTTCCTCTCACAGACAGGATCTCTGTTACTCAGACAGAAGTTCAGTGGCCCCATCACAACTCGCTACACCTTCCAATTCCAGTGCTCAAGTCATCCTTCTATGCCAGCCAGCCACGGAGCTAAGAGTGCAGGTGCACATCCCTGCGCCTGGCTGCTTTTTACTGTGTATACAAAGGGAGTTCCCTGAATGTTGCCAAAGCTGGAATTGAACTTCTGGCTTCAAATAATCCTCCCACAACAACCCCTCTGCGTTCTTGGGTTTACTGACATGAGGCTCATGCATGGCTGGAGAAAATTCTTCAGTGATTATTTCATTGTATATTCTGTAAGGCAGCTTTCAGGTCATATGTTTACAGATCATGTAAGTGGTAAAATGTTGGTGGCATCTAGCATGCCAGTTTCTTTTCTTGCTTTGAAAAATTATGTCTCTGGCCTGGCGAGGTGACTCATGCCTATAATCCTAGCACTCTGGGAGCTGAGGCAGGTGGATTACTTGAGCTCACAAGTTTGAGACCAGCCTGAGCAAAAACCTGACCCCATCTCTACTAAAAATGGAAAAACTGAGGGAAAAGGATTGATTGACCCCAAGAGTTGGAGGTTGCTATGTGCTATGATGCCACACCACTCTACTCAGGGCAACAGGTTGAGACTGTGTCTAAAAACAATAGAATAAAATAAAAAAATATGGCTCAGTGCCTGTGGCTCAAGCGGCTAAGACGCCAGCCACATACATCTGAGCTGGTGGGTTCAAATCCAGCCCAGGCCTGCCAAACAACAATGACAGCTGCAACCAAAGAATCGCCCAGGAATTGGAGGTTGCTGTGAGCTGTGATGCTACAGTACTCTATAGCAGACAGCTTGAGGATCTGTCTCAAAAACTAATAATAAATAAATAAAATAAAAACTATGTCTCCGTTCCATCAACTTACATACTACATAAGCTTCAGTAGTATCCACTGATCCCCTGTTTAAGATCACATGTTGACAAATCATATATATCATCATATATTCATATCATTTGGCAAGCTGCCTGTTTTTTTGTTCTTTTCAAAATTATTTTACTGTTCCTTCAACTTACATAGCATGTACGGTCATATGCACAGATTCCCTGTGTTCATGGATTATATCCTCTGTGGATACGGGGGTCCTAGCCAGTTCTGTATCCATCATTGAAAACTAAGGCACAGTGTCATGCATTTCTGAGCGCTGAGATCCACAGAGAGGTGAGGGGGCTGTGCTCTGCCTGGGTTTTCATCTGTGCCCTGAGGGAAGTTCAGTCCACCCCAGATCTTCCTGCTAAAGTGTGGGAGTGGGTTTCATTGGAAGGGGAGCGGGTTCTGAAGAAGGGGTGAGAAACTCTTCCTATGGGACTTATTATCCTTGAAACCTCCTGGCTCAGTGCTCAGCAGAGGACTGTTTTTGCAAAGAGAACTGTGTTATTTCAGTGTATCTGTGTATACATGTGTGAGTGTGTACGAGTGATGTGTGTGAATGTGGGCATGGGTCATCAAAGGCACATCATCATTTTACGTAAATTTTATGTTTTTTGACCATTGGAATTTTCTCTTGAATGTTTTCCATGGACTTTTACTTATTTTACATATTTATGGGGTTCTTTTTGTTAAGGAGGTCCAATTTTTTTTTTTTTTTTTTGAGACAGAGGCTCACTATATCACCTTTGGTAGAGTGCCATGGTGTCAAAGCTCACAGCAACCTCAAACTCTTGGGCTTAACTCATTCCTTGCCTCATCCTCTGGAGTAGCTACAGGCACCCACCACAATGCCTGGCTAATTTTGGAGATGGGTTCTCCCTCTAGCTCAGGCTGGTCTCCAAATGTGAGCTCAGGCCATCCACCAGCCTCAGCTTCTAAAATTGCTGAAATTACAGGCATGAGCCACCTCACCTGGCCCTGTATAGCCAAGATTCTAAGACTAGAATTCAAGGCATTGTCTTAGGATTCTGTCCTTGCTTCAGGCTCAGTACAAATACTGATCAAAGCTTGGTAAAAATAAGCTAGTTGGACGAATGTGGATAATTTTTTCTACTACATTCAACAGGCCACAGGAGTTTTTCAGAGTTCTCACTCACTGGTTTCTGCCAGTTCTCTATAGCACACTCTGCCAGCATCATAGTCTTGCTGTTACTTCTTTCATACTTGGCCCCCAAATGGCCCACAACCCTATTGCCTGCCCTCCTTAAAGCCTGCACCCCAAACTGTGGGGATGATCTTGTCATAGAGACCAGTTCCACTCATGTACAACATGGAATTTTCCACATATGCTCTTAAATAGTATATTTTATTCAAACCCTTAATACCTTTCTTTGTATCATTGCTTTGGCTGAAGAGTTCATAAAATTATTTTTCAGTTATGTACAAAGAAATTTTTCCAGCAAAAAATTCAGTTTTTCAGTTTTTCTTTTCATTATTTTTTTGTGTGTATGTATGTGAGACATACTCTCACTCTTTGGCCCTGGGTAGCATGGCATGATATCATAGCTCACACCAACCTTAAACCTCTGGGCTCAAGTTCTCCTCTTGCATCATCCTCCTGAGTTACTGGAACTACACGGGTCTGCCACCATGCCCAGCTACTTATTCTATTTTTATTAGAGATGAGTCTCCCTCTTCCTCAGGCTGGTCTCAAACCCATGAGCTCAAGGTATCCCCCTGCCTTGGTCTCCAGAGTGATAGGATTACATACATGAGGTACCACGCCAGGCCCTGATAAAGTTTTTCTTGTGTAGTTTTTTATAACTACCACTGTCACCCTGGAAGTGCTGATCCTGGTACTGCATTCAACTCCATATGGGAATTTCTGCCCTCCACCCTCAGGAGGCCACTCAACACAGTGCAGGAAGGTTAATAGGCACTGAGTAACCCCCTCTTCTATCATATTAATGAATTGACATCAATAACACTGCTAACATAAGCAGCATAGGTGTGTGTGTGCATGCGTATCGTGACCTTTTATGCAGTTGCATGTTCTCACCCTTGAACTTGTTTCAGTTTTTCTAAATGAGGTACTTCTCTGTCAGTTGACCTCTGAGGCTGGTCTGCTTCTTAAGGGTTTGACCCAGTAGGTCCCATGCTAATACCCAGTCATCTGGGGTCAGGGTTTACTGTGCTCTTTTTCGTCCATTGACCCCAAGAAAGGTTTTTATTACAGTATCTGAGACACGGTTGTCTCCTCAGTAAGATGGGAAGAGATCTTTCTCTTATGGGCTGTTGTTAGTATAGCAGGAGTCCAACTATTCACAATCATCATTCTCACATGGGAACTGTTCAATAGCTTCTGACATGGCTCTTGCTGTCATCGTACCACTTTTTAGATTCTGATCTTTCTAAGAGCCACTGTAGACATAGTGATCCTCAAGACAACAGTCATTTTCTAGTTTTGGGGGACACTGAATTTTCTAGTTTGGTGTGTCAAACAGATCTAATACCTCTAGAGAACAGATAGAAGCCTGTTAATGTCATACTTGTTTCTCCTGTAATGTCCACAACAGCAAGATCCACACTAATTTCGAGAATGTCACAACTGCTCAAGGAAAAGTAGAGTACACCACATAGCAAGCTGAAAAGTATATTAATGTGGATCTTTCAGTCACATCAATTTTTTCATTGCTCTTCTGGTTTTCTGTGAAGAGGGGATTTCTTTCCATCCCTCTTTGGTGAAACATGTTTCTCATTTCAGGGACAATTGACATTCAGAGATGTGGCCATAGAGTTCTCTCAGGAGGAGTGGCAGTGCCTGGACTCTGCTCAGAGAGCTTTGTACAGGGCCGTGATGTTGGAGAACTACAGGAACCTGGTCTCCCTGGGTGAGCATATCCTGGCTGTAAATTGTAGACTTTTTAGAAGAATGTCTAGTTCCCTGTTTTCTACCCAGGACCTTTGATTCAGTACTTCCTGACAGAGAGCTTAATGTTTGCATATCACACTTTCATACACATTCAGAAGGCAGCCATATGTGGATGAATACATTTTTTTCTTAATCCATTTGTAATGTCCTCTGTCTTACCTCAGCACAGGGCTTGGATTTTGGCAAAGCTGCAGCACTTCTTGATTCCTTGTTTTTACAAGCAGGACTCTTGCTTCCTGACCTGACTGTTCTCTCCATGTTGGAGGAAGGGAAAGCGCCCTGGACTGTGGAAACCGAAGTGAAAACACCAAAAAATTCAAACTGGGAGGAATGGATCAGAGGTGTGCACTCAGGTAAGAGCTCAGGTGGGCACAGTGGAAGCCACACTATTAAACAGTGTGTGGGAGAGGCTTCCAGTTGAGGGTTCTGTGGATGAGCAAAAGGTTAAATCCTGTGAGCTCTAAGGAGAAATCTTTGTCTCTACTTACCACTCTGTTTTTTCAATGTGGAATAATCGATTATTTAATGCTGCAGTGGTGTTGCAGCTCAAACTGAGATAAAGGCAAATTATTTGATTGCACGATGACATATCTGTAAACTCTTTGGTCCCTGTCTGTGTAGGACACAGAGAAGGCCATGTCCAAGGATCTCTTTCTCCTATGGTGTGTCCCATATTTGATTCCATCTGGTGCTCTGTCTATACAGATCAGAGGAGATGCTCCCATAGGCCAGACACATTGACCTCTTTAGGTGCCGTCCCATTTCCTATACTTGGAAGACTTGATCAGTATGTGAGAAAATAATTATTGTTCTTTCTTTGCTTCTGGGCCAGGGTATAACACAGAGCTGTCTCCAGCCCTTTCTGCCTTTTCAGGTCAGTTGAAGATAAAGAACAAACCAAAGTGTTCATCATCTCACCTGCCTCTCAACAGAGAATGTCTCTTCTGTTCAGCAAAATGTGTTGGGTTTCTCTCCACAAACACCCAATGTTTTGGTGGCCATCAAAGCATTTCCTATTCTTCATCTGTGACTCTGTCTACCTGGAGTTAGGGTCAGATCCCACAGATTGAGGGCTGAATCCCCAAGCATCCCCCCTTCGTCATACTTCATTCACAAGTAGTAGGTTGTTGCGTCTCCTTCTGACCAACAAGCGGTTAAGTTGAAGCTTCCTTGAAACCCTGCTCAGATGTGATTATGTGCAAGGCTGGCTCACCGCTCTCAGTGACACACTTTGTGTGTCTGTGTTTTATTATGAGGGACATTTGAGGGGACACAGATGTATAACCAGATGAAGCGGCTCACAGGAGAAGGCTCATTGAAGCTTCACTGGATGCCCCACCTTCCACACACATCCATGTGTTCAGCACTTGGAATTTCTCCTAACTGCACAGTGTAGACCTTTTTATGAAAGTGTCATCATTGATACAAACTTACCTCTGGTCCTCTCTGTTTCCTTCAGGATGTTGTTTGGGGCTGATTATTTAAGGCTTGTAATCATAGCTTGATCTTTCTGGTGACCAGCCCTTATGCGGGACACCATAGAAGTGGACTCATTAGAACATGTCACGTGCCTTTCACCTAGGAAATTTCAAACTCTTGGAAGTGTATGTGAGAAACCTGGGAGGGGATCAATTTATGTGTTTCTTCTTATTTCACAAGATCCCTGAGCCATTCCTTACTTAACTTTATCCAAAGTTTTCTGCTGTGTATAACAGAGGACGAGGTCGGCTCCTCTGAGATTTTTACTCAAAGAAAGGAAAAGTGAGGGGACAGAGTGTCCTGTGTTGGATCTCCAGGTCCACGTGGTGAGCATAGCTCACTAGAATGGTGGGTGTGGTTCCTAGTGTTGTTTGTTTCAGGCACTGCTACTCTCATCTTGTCCATTTTCACATATTATACATGATCCTGGTTTTTATCTATTTCATCGTCTATGTTAGTATGGTGTATGTTTTTCTTTGTCTTTATTCCCTTTGTGGATCGTCCTGTCTAGGATGTGTTGAGATGCCGTACCATTGTGAGTCTACTGATTTATATATTTTAGGAGTTGTCTTTGTTTAATAGAGACTCAGTTGTAGCCAACAGGAATTTCCTGAAACCCTCTGCAAAGTGGACGGCACCCATAGCTCAGTGGGTAGGATGCCGGTCACATACACTGAGGATGGCCACGAGGATGGCGGGTTCCAACCGGGCCCGGCCCAGATAAAACAGCAATGACAACTGCAACCAAAAAAACTAGCCAGGCATTGTGGCAGGCAGCTGTAGTCCCAGCGACATGGGAGGCTGGGGCAAGAGATCACTTAAGCCAAAGAGTTTGAGGTTGCTGTGAGCTATCATGCGATAGCACTCTACAAGGGCAACATAGTGAGACTGTCTGAAAACAAACAAAGATAAAAAACCTCTGCAAAGTTGAAATGGTCTTCTTTGTCTTTTTTGCTCAGGCTGGTCTCGAACCTCTGAGCTCAGGTATTGAACCTACCTCATCCACCCAGAGTGCTAGGATTACAGACATGAGCCACCAAGAACTAAAGTTTTGGCCCCCATGAACTAAAGTTTTGACATCATATACAGTAAAGGGCCACCTTCCTTTCTAAATATTTGTTTTTGTTCCTACTACAAACTATTAAAATGTGATTTTGGCATTTACTTCAGTTTATGAGTTGAGATTTCTTTTTTAAGACAGTCTCACTTTGTCATCCCAGGTAATATACAGTGGTATCATCCTATCTCACTGCAACGTCTACCTCCTAGACACAAACTATCTTCTTCCCTCTGCCTACAGGAGCCTCCTGGAATACCAGGCTAATTTTTTTATTTTTAGTAATCACAGGATATCGCTTTTGCTCAGATTGGTCTTGAACTCATAAGCTGAAGGGTTCCTACTGCTTAGGCCTACTATAATGATCAGATTGCAAGCCTGAGCCACCATACCTGCCCAAATAATGCTGCTCTCTTTTTAATCCAGGTTTGTATATATCCACTTACAATCCTGTCCTGTATTTCTTTGAAAATATACCCAGATGTGTTATAAGATAATTTTAGGATGATTCAAGTTTGAATCATCTGAGGAGATTTTGTGTTGGCTTTTATAGTGTTTCTACCATTTTCCATTCCAAGCAGCTGGGCTCAAGGCTTTCATTTCTCATGTTTTCACCAAGACTTCTTATGTTTTGGTGAATTTTCTTGTATTATTGTTGAAGATAAACATCCTAGTGGGTATGTTTACCTTCTTTTCTGTGTATCAATGGTTGTCCAGGAAGTCATTGTTCCTTACAGTCTCATAAATCTTTTTTTTTGAAACAGAGCCTCAAGCTATCCCCCTGGGTAGTGTGTCGTGGCATCACAGCTCACAGCAACTTCCAACTCCTGGGCTCAAGCGAGTCTCCTGCCTCAACCTCCCAAGTAGCTGGGACCACAGGCGCCCGCCACAACGCCCGGCTATTTTTTGGTTGCAGCCGTCATTGTTGTTTGGCAGGCCTGGGCTAGATTTGAACCCGCCACCTTAGGTGTATGTGGCTGGTGCCTTAGCCACTTGAGCCACAGGTGCCGAGCCCGTAAATCTTTTCACCGAGCCCGTAAATCTTTTCACCTCTCATTATTTTTTGCTCTTGTATTTACATTAGGAATCCATTTTAAGTAAATTTTTTTTTTTTTTGGCACAGAGTCTCACTTGATCACTGTCGATAGAGTGCTGTGGCATCATACCTCACAGCAACCTCCAACTCTTGGGCACAAGTTATTCTTTTGCTTCTGCCTTGCAAATAGATGGGACTACAGGTGCCTGCCACAGTGCCTGCCATCAATTTTTAAAGAAGGGGTCTCGCTCATGCTTAGGTTGGTCTTGAACCTCTGAGCTTAGGCATTCCACCCACCTTGTTCTCCCAGAGTGCCAGGATTACAGGCGTGAGCGACCAGGTCTGGCCGACATTAACTAAAGTTTTGATGTCTTATACAGTAAGGGTCCACCTTCTTTTTTCCTGTGGATATTCAATTTCCTTGGCACTATTTGTTGAATGGCTTGTCCTTTCCCCTTTGTAGAATGTTGCTATCATATTCATTGACCATCATTAGACAATGTAGTTGAGGGATTCTGACTGGTTCTCTGTGTCATTGCTTTCTACATCTGTCTCCATAGCAGTACTGCACTGCTTGGGTTAGGCGGCTATGTAATAAGTTTTGTAATTGATGTAAGGTGAGACGTCCTGTTTCATTTCTTTGAAGTTCCTTTTGCTATTGAGGTGACAGTGTGGTTTCTTTTTAGTTAAAAGGCCCATTTCTTTCTGTAGGAAGTTTCATTGGGAGTTTGCTAAGGATTTTCCTAAATCTGTGGGTTACTTTGGTCGTTATTGACATTTAACTTGATGTTAATGTTTTTCCAAAGAATAAACATGGGACTTTGTTTTCTAGTTTCAGATTAATATGAGGTTATCAATGATTAGGTTACATTGTTTGCATTGTTAGGTAAACTCCAAGTTGTAGTCGAGCCCTGCACCCAGGAAGTATGCCGTAAATTCCTACAGTGTGCCCAAAGGTTGCAAGCTTACAGAGTCCCCTCGCTCCTCCCCACTTCTTCCCCACTTGAATTTAATTGTGTTTTTCTCTCATGTGCGCATTCAGGTGCTCACCTACCGGTTTCATAGTAGTATTGAGTACATGGGATGGTTGCTTTTTCATTCTTGTGATCATTTACTTATGCCAAATGTTCTCCAGATCTATCCCGCTAAATACAAAAGATGGAAAGTCTCCATTGTTCCTTATGGCAGAATAGTATTTCATGGTCTACATATACCATAGATCATTTATCCATTCATGAGATAATAGGCACTTGGGTTGTTCATACATCTTGGTGATTGTGAAATGAGCTGTGATAAATATTCTAGTGCAGAAGTCCTCATGGTCAAATGAATTCTTTTCTTCTGGGTAGATGTCAAATAATGGGATTGTGTGATGAAAGGAAAGGTCCACTTTGAGCTCTTTCAGGATTCTCCATATGTCTTTTCCAAAAGGTTATATGAGTTTCTAATCCCACCAAAACTGTGTAAGTGTTCCCTTGTCTTCATACCCACACCAAGATCTGCAACTTTGGGACTTTGTGATGTGGGCTATTCTCACTGGGATTAGGTGGTACATCAATTTAGTTTTGATTTGCATATTTCTGCTGATTAGGGACAATGAGCATTTTTTCATGTGTTTGTTGGCCACACATCTGTCTTCTTGAGAGAAGTTTTTGTTCATGTTGTATGTCTAGTAATCAATGAGATTGTTTGCTGTTTTCTTACTGATTAGTTTGAGCTCTCTGTAGATTTTCATGTATTATTATTAATGTGTAAGCAAGTTTCCTTAAACGTCGTATTTTCCCTACAAAGCTTACCTGTGCCTTTTGCAGCAACTTTTAGCACATGTTGTATTTCTCTACTCAAAATCTCTCTTCAACTCACCCATACTCCTCTGAGCCCCTGTACATTTCCCACTGTTCCAGTGTATCATCGTACCTCCTTAAGCTCTTAGTATTGCCCATGTGACATACAGTGTATAGGGATGTTCCTTTCTTTTTCTTTTTTTGAGACACACTCTCATGTTGTTGCCTTCTATAGAGTGCTATGGTGACATAGCTCACAACAACTTCAAACTCTTGGGCTGAAGCCATTCTCTTGCCTCAGCCTCCCAAGTAGCTGGGACTATTGGTGTCCGGCACAGTGACCAGCTGTCTTTAGGGATGAGGAGTCGCTCTGGCTAAGGCTGGTCTCCAACCTATGAACTCAGGCAATCTACCCACCTCAGCCTCCCAGAGTGCTGGGATTATAGCTGTGAGCCACTGTGCGTGGCCTCAGATGTTCCTTTCAATTTTAAGTACATGGTGCAGATCCTAGTCTTACCTTCAGACTACAGAAATGCCAGATCCATAGCCTCAAGTTCTACTCTTTTTTTTGCTTTTAGGGAAGAGCTCTGTGTTGGGAAAAGATACAAGATACAAGCCTACTAAAGATCAACTTGGATTATACGTTCATTCCTATCTGCCAATGCAAGATGAAGAGAAAATTGATGTATGGAAAGAGGTTTCAAATGCTCTCAACCATATTATCTCATTTTCTGCACTGGAAAACATTCCTTCTAAACTCAAAACCCACATCCATAATAAATATAAAAGCAGTTTTGGAAATTCTGCAGTAGTTGCACAAGAACTGAACAAACAGATTAGGGAAGAACTTTACAGTTATAATGAGCATGTTGGAGCCCTTAAAGTGTCTTCAAGCTCTCCTAACCATGGGAAAAATCATACTAGAATGAAACTTCTGTCCCTCAATGAATCCCCAACAATTAAAAACAAAAAGAAACCTGCAAAACGTGAAGAGTGTGGCAAGACCTTCAGGCACAATTCAGACGTTGTACGTCATCGGAGCATCCATACTGAAGAGAAACCTTACAAATGCAATGATTGTAGCAAACTCTTCAGGCTAAAGCAATTCCTAATTCAACATGAGAAAATTCATACTGGGGAGAAATCTTTTAAGTGTGATGAGTGTGGAAAACTCTTCAGGCGAAATGAGCACCTAATTCGACATCAGGTAATTCATACTGGGGAGAAACATTTCAGATGTGATGACTGTGGGAAACTCTTCACACGAAAGGAGAGCCTAATTCGACATCGTATAGTTCACACTGGGGAGAAACCTTACAAATGCAATGAGTGTGGCAAGGTCTTTTCTCAACAATCAAGCCTTACAGCTCATCACACAATCCATACAGGAGAGAAACCTTACCAGTGTAATGAATGTGACAAGGCATTCAGACTGAAGACAAACCTTACATTTCATGAGAAAATACATACTGGAGAGAAACCTTATAAATGTAATGAATGTGACAAGGCCTTTTGTCAGAAGATATCTCTTACACTTCATCAGAATACACACACAGGAGAGAAACCTTATAAATGTAATGAATGTGACAAGGTCTTTTGTCAGAAGATATCTCTTACACTTCATCAGAATACACACACAGAAGAGAAACCTTACAAATGTAATGAATGTGACAAGACCTTTAGACAGAAGATAGCCCTTACAGATCATCAGAATACACATACTGGAGAGAAACCTTATGAATGTAATCAATGTGACATGGCCTTCACACACAAGAAATCCCTTACACTCCATCAGAGGACACATACTGGAGAGAAACCTTTCAAATGTAATCAATGTGACAAGGCCTTCATACATAAAGCATCCCTTACACTTCATCAGAAAACACACACTGGAGAGAAACCTTACAAGTGTAATCAGTGTGACAAGGCCTTCTTTCGGAGGATATCCCTTGCAATTCATTTGGAAACGCACACTGGAGAGAAAACTTACAAATGTAATGAATGTGGCAAAGCCTACATTCATATTTCAAATCTTACTCGTCATCAAAAAATTCATACTGGAGAGAAACCTTACAAATGTCATGATTGTGACAAGGCCTTCACACTGAAGGAGTCCCTTACAGTTCATCAGAAAACACACACTGGAGAGAAACCTTACCAATGCAGTGAGTGTGACAAGGCCTTCAGACACAAGATATTTTTTATAGCTCATCAGAAAACACATACTGGAGAGAAACCTTACAAATGCAATGAGTGTGCCAAGGTCTTTACTTGCAAACAGTACCTAAGAAGACATCAGGGCTTTCATACTGGAGAGAAATCTTAACACATGTAATCAATGTGGTAAAGTTTTTAGGTTCATTTCAGAACTTATCCAACATCAGGGCATTCATACAGGAGAGAAGCCTTACAGGTGCAATGAGTGTGACAAGACCTTCAGACAGAAGCTGTCTCTTACAGTTCATCAGAAAAGACATACTGGACAGAAAACCTTACAAATGCAATGAGTGTGGCAGGGTCTTTAGTAGCAATTCAAACCTTACACGACATCAGAGCCTTGATACTGGAGACAATCCATAGAAATGCAGTGGCTGTGGAAATAAATTGGTGTGTGTTCATAGTTGCATACACATCAGGTTATCTGTAATGCTAGTAAACCCTGGAAATGTGATGAGTGTGGCAAGATTTTCAGGCACAAATTGTCCTTAGAGTTGATCTCAGAATTCATATTGGAGAGAAACTTTGCAAGTGTAATGAATGTGCCAAACCCTTCAGACAAAAAAGTCCTTTAAACTTCATCATAAAACACATACTGGAGAGAAACCTGAACAGGGCCTTTCATCAAATGAAACTTTGGGCTCCGTGCTTATAGCTCAACCGGCTAAGGTGCCAGCCAAATAGACCAGAGCTGGGGGTTTCAAATCCAGACCAAGCCTGCCAAACAACAATGACAACTACAACCAAAAAATAGTTGGGTGTTGTGGCAGGTGCCTGTATTCCCAGCTACTCGACAGGCTGAGGCATGACAATCACTTAAGCCCAGGAATTTGATGTTGCTGTGAGCTATGATGCCATAGCACTCTGCCCAGGGTGACACCTTGAGGCTCTTTTAAAAAAAAAAAAAAATCAAACTTTAACTATCATCCCACAATTCATACAGGAGAGAAACCTTACAAATGTTATGAGTGTGGCCAGTTCTTCAGTTTAAATTATACCTTAAAAGTCATCACAGAATTCATACTGGAGAGAAAACTTACAAATGTAACCTATGTTACATGGTCTTTAGTCACATATCATGCTTTAAACAGCATCAGAGAATTCATGTGTGACAGACTCTGCAGCCTTCTCAAGCGTGGCAAATTCTTTATGAGTGCTATCATTAATAAACATCCCAGAATCCATACTAAAGAGAGATCAAATAAATGCAATGTATGTGGCAGGGGCTTTATGTAGGCCTGACTACTCACTTATACTACACATCTGAAGCTACATCTTCAGTGAAACCACAGAAATGAGATGTTTTTCAAGAAATTAATGTGGAAGGACCATTACTGTGGGATATCAGAGAGTTTACACTAGAAAAATCTCAGTGTCTGGTTCTCCAGCATTTAATGTTTGATGTTATATGGAGCAACTATAAATCAAAATACGTTCAACCATATGAATTGATACCATATCAAACATGGAAGGTGACGTGGACATAGTCAAACATATTTAGCTTATACAATATTTCATTATTTTAGGTTCTTTCAAAAGCTACTTTAGTTTTTAAAAAAATTTCAGCATGAACATTGAAATCTCTTCATGTGCCTACCTTACCAGAATTTCACTGTTGTGTCTTGGAAAGAATCAGTACAATGACAGGTCTCAACTGATAACTAAAAATCATTTCTATGCCATATTGTAGAAGGAAGAGACATTGCCATTAGAAGTTAACTCTTTTCTTATTTTTTGAAAGTCTAACTCATGGTGAGTGCAGTGGGGTAATCATAGCCCACTGCATCCTATGATTCATGGGCTCTAGCCATCCTGTCCTCCCAAATAGCTAGAAGTCATGGTACACCTTATTTTTCTGAATTTGTTTTTCAGAGGAAATGTCTCACTGTGTTCTGCAGGCAGGTTTCAAACTGTAGATTCTAGCTGTACTCCCAACATGGTCTCCCAACATCCTGGGATTACAGATGTTAGTTGTCGTCATGCCTTTTTCCTTTGAAGTTAAATGTTGCCTGATACACACAGGGTGGCAGTGTGGTGAATGTTGTACAACTGCAGTGTCAGTCCTCATGCCTTGAGCATTCATCACAGGCTTCTTCTCCTTAATGAATGGTGGCTTATTGGAACCAACTATTCTAGCAACAGTGACCTCAAGCAGTCCGCCTACCTCGGACCTTGAGAATGTCATGGGAAGACAGTGGGTTCTTAAGGACTAAGAAAGGTTGTAGAAATAATGCAGGGATACTGGTGGTCACCTTCACTGAATGGCAATGGGTATTGTTTATCAATAATTGAATTAAAAAGTTTTTTTTGACGGTGAAGAGAGAAAACTTATCTTTGAGTAGACAGTTTCATCAAAACTACCAGTAGAGCATGTTCTTGAGGACGATTCTCATTTACATCTTGGTATTGTAATTTACAACTGTTTTATTGAAGATACATCAAAATTCCCCAGTTTGGACTAATAAAACTTAATACTTTTTTGTAGCTGTAACTGAGTCACAGTGTTTCTAACTAGGCATGGTGGCTCATGACGATAATCCTAGCTGAGCAAGAGTGAGACGCCATTCCTGGGGAATTCAGACACAAATTATTCCACCTGAGGAGGATACTTCATAATAGACGATAATTATGTACCATTAAGCCCTTATGGTTTAAGTGTCTAGAGCAATTTTCTTTTTGTGAAATCAACGAAGATATTCTTTTGGGTACATGCACTTAGTTGAGTAGGATTACTAAGAAGCAATCCTTAGTAGATAAGTTATTCTTTCTACACTCTGCCCTAGGATACTTATCTGAGTCCAGTAAAGATAGCAGAGTCTCTTACACCCTTAAACATACATGACTGTGGATGAAATGCTCTATATGATTACATTTCCTCATGTGCCAAGTAGGACCCATGGCATGCACCTGCATTTTCCTTAAGCAAAAATCCACACATAGTAATAGATAACTTACTT